TACAAAATTTCATATATAGTTTCTAGTATATTTTACATACATCAAAAATTGGTAAATATAAACTTAATTTAAAAACCATACGCAGTTTTTGACATTTTTAATATAAACAGACGAAATAATAATAATGAGACAGTAAAAAGAACTCTGAAAATTTTGAAGATAGACAAGGAAATTGAGCTAACCGTTAATTTATCTTCTTTATAACCTGCTGGTAAGAAAATCACCTAATCGTAGCCCTCAAATATCTAGACAAAGAAAAAATACCTGTAAACTCTCAACTGAAATCTACATATAAAAATTTACTAAAATGTTTACACAAGAATGATAATTCCACTAAGCTGGTGATAATATGCCAATTATTCTATCTTACATCACTTGTAGTAAGGTCTTCGATTATCCCCCGTTGTTGACTAAAAATTGATTATTATGGTTTGCAGAATACACGACTTTTACTGAGATAACATACAGATTAAGCTGATTAAGTCAGACAGGGATCTAGGTAAATTTGTATTTGGAAAAATGATTAATATAATACAGAATCGTCGGAAATTAACCGGTGAAAGTCGAATTGATTCAAAGTGGAAGTTCTTATGAAGTCTACTTGATTTCGTAATTGATTGGTAAACAAAATCTGACAGATTCAATAAGTCTACGACCTTCTGCTAGACCTTGAAATATTTACAAATAAATGTGAAAAATATTTGGCTTCTTACTGTAAATCTTTGGTAAACTTGACTGATTTTTAAGAACTAAGAATTACGAAATATACTCATCATGCTTAATAATAGAAGTACTAGATGTGAGTGTAATATAACTATTTACGAACCATAATAATATGTGGATACAGTTTTATTTTTATCTAACAACTGTCAAGGAAAACGTCGGTGGCAGGATAGTGGATACTCACCACTGAGGATACTCATGCTAGAACAAATAGCTGTCTAGTATTTCAAAATTCTCAATGGTCGTCTCACTTAGATAGTTTGGTTAGCTCTATAAGATTCAACAATCTCCCTCGATCCTCATGTTGATAATTACAGCCTATTTAGCCTAAAAAAGAACAAATCCTTTCAATTTAAGTTATACTTTTTGTTGTGATTCATCTAGTTCTTTCTTTTATATATTGCAGTTAAATTTCAGATTTTAACTAATCACTATCGAAATTATCAGTATTTAGCTGTAATCAAGATATCTGTTGATGATTATTACCGTTAAACTTTATTATTATTATTATACATGCATTTATGGCAGATTTAGCTCATTCAAGCTACAAGTTAGATAGTGGATACCTAAATATTTTATCTTAGTTCTGCTAAGACGATTATAGAGTGAATACTTTGCACTATATTCAACTGATAATGATCATGATACAGCACTCATTTTAAGTTACACGAATGCTACTTAGATGTATTTGGATTTGAGTTAATATGCATACGTTTATGTATTAAGAAATCCGAGAAATCATTCATAATAACATAAATTAGAAGTGAGTTGTTAACAATAAACTAAACGGGAACTGATTAGCCATTATTCATTGTTGAGAGAGAATTATTCTTTTCACTAATTACATTTAAAGTTGTACAGTAAATTGTAATCCACCACTTCGTTTACCATAATGACCTTCATGTTCGGTGACACGTAGAATCAATATTTAATTAGCAATCAACTCTCAAAAAAACTCATTATAATTCACTATATGCAGGTTGATCCAGAAAATTATAGTTTGATTCCCTTTTGTTAAGAAGATCCGTTTAATTTTAACTCATAACGTTTGAAAAATTACTCGTAATTTAACCGGTATTATTTGGATATGGCCTAAAAATGTGTGGCGTCAGCCTAAATTAAACAAACAATGTGTAATGTTTGTACATGTAAGTAGTTATGAAATGGATAAATAACAAGAAGGTTCTTTGAAATACGTTCCTTTATTTTATTTGCATGTTCTCCTTCAAAATATGTTTATTATAACATTATCGTACAAATAGTTAAACGTATAATAAGTGACGCCAATTATCAATAACTCTCTATTGAAGTCTACATTGAACATAAATGCAATCATACATTTATATTCAAGTGTTTATATTTACTTCATTTATTGTTTAATTCAACAACCTATGAAAATTTATTTACAGCTTATGTTTATCATTTGAAGCTAAATATATTTGACTATTTTACCATGGTAATAATAATAATAGATTTGTTAATTCTCTAAAATTCATAATATCATCTTACCAAGTATTTGATGAATTCGAATCGGAAAATAGGTACTTGTGTACTGTCTTCATAGGTAAGTGTAGATTATTTGCAAAAAGAAATTGAAATACTAATTAACTGGCTTGCTTTCGTTTTAAAGAAATTCTCTTAAAAATATTGTGAATTTCTTGTTTAAAGTGAGTAATACATGTTTTATGCAATCAAAAAGTGTTTTATTAAACGTTTATTTGTTTTTAAGGACACAAGGGATTGTTTAATTAGGTTTTTAAAATCTGTTACTGCTCATAATAAGTGTTCAGCAAATAATAGCCAATGTTTGATTGTCTCATTTTCAGTAATGAACGATTAGGCCGGCTAAGTGACCACTTGAGTAACGAATCGTACATTGAACTTTGAACAGTAAAATAGTCCTGTTTCATAAAACGATCATGAGTAATACATGTTTTATCCACTAAAAGTGTTCTTAAGAGTTCATTTACTTTCGCCTCAAAGTTCCAATTTATTCTCTTTTGTCCATTTATTCAGAACAAACATCATACTTCCAACCTTGAATATTTGTCTTGACTGGTATGCTTGAAAACTCAAGTGTTTTATGTGGACTCAGTTGAAATTTAAATTAATAAATCTTTTGACACAAAAAAACATAATATTATAATCCTTGGCTTATCTATTATGTACATTATATTTTGAGACATGTTGACTACTACAAAAATATAATATATAACCTTGTAAGGGAATTAAATGGCAACGACATTATTATCATTGTTAGGATCAGTAACAACATCATTCAAATAAAAATCTGTCATTGACAAGAAAAAAAAATATTTGAATTATATTGTGGTGTGGGCTACATATATCGACATAAGTAGTATATATTGTGAGTAAGGAATAGAATATTTGTCAGCAGAAGATTGAGAAGATCAAGAAAAAAAGAACAAAAATGGAAAGCAATTAGTGTGAAAATCCAGGAACAATGAAGCCTTGGACAATCAATGAACATTTTGCGAATAGAGTATCACAGTATGGTTTTTGTATTTTACCAAGCAACTTTGTAATTTGTTGGTTGTCCTCACCTGTGTTCTCATTCACTACAATATTCCTTCTACGGTAAAAATTCAAAAACAAATAAGACGAGTAGATTTTACCAAAAAGAAACAGAAAAAATTTAAAATAGCTGTCAAGATGTGTATGAGAGAAAAATTTCCACAGTAGAAAGACAAATTTCTTTAAAACAGAAAAATAAAAGTAAATTATCTTCATAGTTGAAAGCATGAGTCAATTGAAGCTAGACCACCATGGAAAACATGGAAACACTGGACGGCCGTTTCGTCCAATTATGGGACTCCTCAGAAGTGCACATCCACGAACCCGCTCTCGCGAGATTCGAACCCAGGACCTACCAGTGTTTCCAGGTTTTCTATGGTGGTCTAGCGTCAATTAACTCATGCTTTCAACTATGAAACATACTAAAACTCCACAAAACCCCTTCTGGAAATTATCTTCAGTTAAATAAAACAAGAAATTTTATAGAAATTAGTTACTGAACAAGAAAGAAAACTATTTGAATGCATCAGTGAATAAATTTTATTGGGGGAAGGTGGGAAGTAGGATAAGTCAGTTTTTTTCACATAAATAATATTCAATTTTTAAGGCAATCAATAATTTTTTCTCATATAAAAAGTATATTAAAAATTTACTTAATCTCAATGAATATTGCTTTGTTATATCATCATTGCTTGGAGACTCTGTTGATCGATCTTAAACAATATTATACACTACAAATAGGTGTCTTTAAATAGAACCGTCTGATTACAAGTACACGTGAATCAAAATTGTAAATAAAAAAGAACATTGAAATAAGCAAAAGTCTAATGAGCTATTGACAGAGAGTTAGATCTGTTTAAGTTTAGTTATTAGATGAATTATAAGATTTTGGGAATTTTGGTTAGTTACAACCTGACAGAGCTTATTGAGTCGGTGTTGTAGAGTAATTTAATCGCTATGATCATGTATAGACTTGCTTTCCATTTAGCATAATATTACTAACCGATGTAGGCAGTAATTGTGTAGACAAGTTACATTTAATTTTTAATTTATGTGTAATTTGAATATTATCATTCTTCTATTGTATGTAATCATTAAGCTTACAAATAATAAAGAACATATTCATGAAAATCTCTATTTCCTACTTAGAAATATAACTTTTCAACTGTTTAATCATCTTGTAAGATTGTATTATGTTTTACTGGTAACTGAGATTATGTTCCAGTGTTCATGATTATTTGAGCTTTGTCATTTTAAAATCGAGGAAGATTTTGCGCTTTAAATAACATCATATTATCAAATGATTTATGTAACTCCGAATACCTATTAAACTGTCAGATGAAGATAACTCATGATGTGGTTGTGTACACGAATTTTGTGTTAACGATGACCTATGAAACATGTTTTTATAAATCTCTGTTGATTATTAACAATCAATTTTGCGTTGCATCAACCTATTTGATCCTTTGAAGTTATTCACACTAGTAGGAGAAGAATTAAGATCCAGGAAGCGTTGAGTCGATAAGTCATCAACTATGAAAACACTAACTACATACTATCAATATTCAACCAAAAACATTAGTATACAGGTATCAGGTTTGAATCTAAGCTATTGTTTCTGACGAATAACTCCGTTATAGTAAAAATGCATTTATTAGTATGCGTGCTCTAGGAAGAATGAGAGTAAACAATTCACCAAATATATATAAATTAGAATTTACATCTTTATTTCTCTTTAACAGGTATTATTAAAAGTCGCACTGCGGAATGCTTACATTGAACTACATTGAATGCAGAAGTTATTTTTAGTGATATGTAATTATATGTATATATAAAGTTATTCGTTGGTTATTTCTTATTACTATCCCATGTTTTTTTGTTAATTTTATGAATACTAATTTATTCAATGAACAGTGAAAACGTTAGATTTTTTTTCGAACATATAATATGAATGCTTAAAACCTCAATCAGTTTAATCTACAAATAACATTAATCCCTCATCAAAGAAAAAAATCAATTTTAATTAGACATATCATTTTATTTGATTGTTTTTGTTCATAGTAAAGAAATGTGACACTTTCGATCCTTTTATTTTGTCTTTTCTTAACTACTATATCAATGTAAACAAACGACAATAAAGAGATTTGAAAAGATAATTTTAACTGTTTATGAAAAATGTTTTTTTTGTCTGGTCTTTTATATCACTCTTTTTTATTTATTTTAAAAATATCACTACTGTCAATAGTTATATATAGTCCATCATATTACTATTTCTGAGAGATGTTATTAATATAGATGATGTTGAACAAGCTTATAGATGGAAAGAAATTGGTTTTGATGTGGACTTTGATATTGTTTCAAGGAACTTAGACTGAGATTTGCTGGTTTCTATAAATTTTCTTGAGTAATATGACTGTATGACACGGGATTTTTGATGATACAGAAGAGTAGAGTTGAATTTTGAAATGTGTTAAGCACTTCGATTCCAAATAAAAAAACACGAATATTGGTTAAAAAATGACGAATATTAGCTTATATGTCATTACGTTTTTAAGAAATACTCACCGTTATTCAACAAAGGAATAAAGTGATAGTAAGTAGTCTTAAGAAATGACTCAAAGACAATTTAACCAAGAGATCAAGATCTACTATTTAAAATGTCTAATCTAGATTCGAAAATCAACAATGAATGATTTATGTCCTTGTATAAAACCTGGTACTTTGATCTCAGAGTGTTTAGTCGATATTAAAATCCATAAAGAATCTTTTTAATACAGTAACAAACTGTTGTCGAGGCAGTTAAGATCGATCCACGATATTTGTAGTTGATGAAAGATAATGTGTGGATCTTTTTGTTAAACGTTAATTGTTACTTCGAATCTAACGTTTTAGTTGCTTGAAAACATTTGTCTAGTTGATTGGAAGATTATTTTGAATTTATTAGTTTGGACTCAATCTCTTAAGTGACAACCTTTGCATATTGTTTAGAAGTTCCAGAATACATTAGTACAAGTGTCCTATAATCCCGGTTTCTCGAATAAAATTTGACTGAAATAAACAGTGAGAAAAACCACATTTACTCGGAGTAGCAACTCTGCTTTGAAAAATACGCCTAATCAACACTCGAGATTTAACTTTAATATAGAGTAAACTTGGTATAAATCATTGAGCTAAACTTATAAATCTGGAAATCAAAGATAAGTATTACATATAACTGGAATTAGTACAATGACAAATTTTCATTTAACCTGTATAAATTGATGCATAACAGTCCATGCTACTGAATTTTCGAATAATTTACTAACATTTATTCGAGGACTGAGAATCTTAGGAGTTCAAACCAGTGCATGTTTCAAACACTAATTATTAAATTCCAGCGATTTAAACATATTTTACTATCCTTGAAACTTTAGGGTTTTTGGTTTGCTTCCGTGTTACTTATGTTTTTTATTGGTTAAGAGACTGTTACTAGGGAAAAACCGTTGTACACCGTTGTCTGGTTCACAGTTGTTCTCCAGCTGACCTCAGTCTGGAACAAAAGATGTCTTGATACCCAATGAATTTTAATAGAGCACCCAACTAGTCATTCATATTCAGTTTTCACTTTGCAATTGACTCCACCTCCAACTAACCTGACCTTTCACTCATGAAGAAATGATATATATCCAAACTATCAACATATAAAATATCAGTAGTAAATAATTTATTTGAGTTTTATACACTTATTAAAATTTTTCTAGCTTTGAAACTGTGACTGAATATACACACTAAGCTAAGGGCAGGTCAAGCATAAAGAAGAATTTACCTTGTACCTCCAGTAACATAAGTTGTTTTGACATTTTTATATGCTCTCCAACTTTTGGTTACCCTGATAATAATGTTATGCTGAGATTTTTTGGATTTATAAATTCAGTGTAGTGAAAAAAAGTAGAAAATAGATAAAAATCTTGTCGGATATTTTGTTGTTATTTACTTTTTTTCATTATACAAAGCCATTTATTATTATTGTATAACTTATAATTTATTTGCAAATGACTTGGATTTAACATCGTTAGTGTTGGTTTGGTAAACCATTCAGTAGAAATTAAGTAAATCGTGCTAAAATGTGTGTTTGTGCATATACGTGTGTATATAAAGAAAATGTAACAGCAATCTGGACAGCCACATCTATAGAAATAATAATAATAATCTTATCCGTACATAAAATTATCCGTTGAATATTGCGCTGGTATCATAAATTATAAATTTTAATCTTAGATTTGCGTTGAAGTCCTAAAGATAATATTACACTAATGAAAAGGTTTACTATAATTGAATGTAATGGTTGTCAAATGAGTACATTTTGACTGTTATGTGCGCACTTAAGTCGCCACAAATATATATACTGATTAGTAAACCTGCAGTTGTAACAGAATGAGTAACAAAGCAAATTAAGAGCTTTAAGAAACTATGCAGTCAAATCGCTGTTTAGTTACATCGTATTTCATTAATATAGATACTAACGAGTGTAAATATATTGTTTTCTTAGAACTAACTAATGCATTTTTTACATAAATATTAATAGATCAAATGTAAAAGATAAATAGTTAAATTTAGATGACAGATTTATAACTTTGAATAGAATTGGATATGTGAAGATAATATCACAATATTACAGGCACATAAGGACAAACACATTGTCTATGTGTCTGTATGTGTTGATTGGGGGGGTTGTAATATGTTCATATTCTAGCATTGAAGAACGGCTATTTATTCACATGAATATTCAGTAATTAAGCTTTCAGTTATCGCATTAATGTTCATTTACAAACCCATTTATTATGATCCATAAATTTGAATACATCAGGTTAAAAAAATGAAGATAAAGATCAATGCGAAATCTTTTAAGGCAAATTTATTAATCGTCTTTTTTTGATAATATACAATTTGAAGTGTGTAATATTAATGTATTATGTTTGTGACCATAATGGTGTTTGATTTAAAGAATTCGGCTATGCAATTACATAATCAAAACGTCTAAGTGTCACTTTCACCAAACTAAATTATATGTAGATATTACAGTGAAGGGGTTGTACCTCGCAAACCAACACCGATTATTTTGGAATTGTTCACCAGAATAATGATCGGTTTCCTACTCTCTTCTTCCAAAGAAGTAATTTTCTCGTTTATAACCTTAAATTTCTCTAAGGTTATGGCAACGTTTACAATGACTCATAGTATTTCATACAAGATTCAGTAAATAAAAAAAAACAATAGGCTTCAAGTTTTAAGTTCCTGCTTTTCTGTCGATCATCAGAGAATACGCTGCCGTAACTTGGGGAATACTTTACCCTCATATACGTCATTGCAATTAAGTACTTTGGTATAAAGCAACTCAAGTTTATACTGGCGCATAACTTAAAAAATTATCAGAAATGCCACCAATATTTAACATTCACAAGCTTGCTTCCACAAGTATAACGCAAGTTCCATTTCATGCTCATCGATGAAACGAATTAAGTTTTTTGACTGTATCTGGCTTTATTACTTTAAAAACATGGCTGACTTTTGAACATTGAGTAAATTCAACACCTTCCCATTAACAAATATGATACTGACATTGTCCATTAACTATTATTTAGATTTTCTTTCTTTCCAGTTTAGAGTAAACTTTCTAATCATGTATCAATGAAAATAGTTTTGACGACAATTTATTGTTTCATTTTCGATATTTTCTTAATTTAGGAGCCAAATTATTTTATTGTTCAACTTTTATTTTATTCGTTACGACTATGTTTTTTCTCGTTTTCACTTCATTTAGTAGTCGTTAATAATTTGTAGTGTTTCATTATTAATTTCTTTTCTACACACTAATTATTTGAATTACACAGAAAGGTATAATTACAGGTTAACCAAAAGAGATCATTGTACTGAAATGATTCCTCTCATGTCTGTCTGTCTATCTGTATGTGTGTATGTAGGCTAGCACTGTTAGTGAGACAACGGTTAGTTTCGTTTAGTACCTATAGCAATGATGAGAATAATTATAAACTAGGAGAAAAACTTCATGTTGATTGTTAATTTTTATAGCTGATTATTTTGTTTGATTATACTATTGCTTTGAAAAGAAAAATTTATCTACTGACAATTTTTATCATTTTTTGCTGAGGTGTGAATAAAGGAATAATTACAGCACATAAAAACAATTTTCTTATCATATGTCAATAATCACTATTTTAATCGTTAGATAATCTTAGTGTTGTTGAAATTTATCATGAGTTATAATTAAAAAGTCATGAAATATCGACTAGTTTTTTAACATTTAAAATAAATCATTTTGATATAGTTAAAATTATGAGTCATTTGAAGCTAGACCACCATGGAAAACCTGGAAGCACTGGACATCCTGTTGTGAGACTCCTCAGCAGTGCGCATCTACTATTCCGCCTGACGCGATTCGAACCCATAACCTACTATTCTTGGGTGCCATTTCAGTGGTCTAGTGGTTAAGAACTCTGGTAGGTCCTGGGTTCGAACCTCGTGAGGCGGGATGGTGGATGCGCACTGCTGAGGAGTCCCAAAGTAAGACGTCCAGTGCTTTCAGGTTTTCCATGGTGGTCTAGCTTCAATTGACTCATGATTTCAATTATGAAAAAACCTTTAAAAATTTGTATAACTTTATCCACAGGTATTCGGTGTTATTCAGTTCATCTACTTCAATTAAGTGATACTTACAATGACTTGTATCCCTTTTGACCATATCTGTTGACATCTCATGTTACCTATCGATATATGGTGACAATTGTTTTCAAAATGTCTGGTTTTATCACTTATCCTTTATTTCAAACAATAGTATCCTAATATAAAAGCGACAGCTAAAAATGAGGTCAATTAGATAGGGTTTGAATACACGAAGAGAAAGGCTCTAACTATTGATCACAATTAAGCTCTAATCACTTCACTGTGAAGACAAATATTTACGCCAGTTTAAATTGTATAACTAGCAGTGTCTCGTTACAACCACAATAAGTGAAGGCTTGGATCGAACCGATCATGCATTAGCGATATATTAATTTATGTTTTACACTTAAGTGACGATTTTCAAAAAAAATGATACCAATCCATGTTTACATAGTGGTCAACGCTCCCAAATGTCGGTTATTATTTCATATCTGTAAACTTGTCTACACTTTCCTATAACATATATATGCTACTGATAC